ATCATTTGGTAAATCTCCACCGTCTGCAGTTTTACAGAGCCATTTAATTAGCGATTTTACAACCTCCTCTCTTCTCATTAAATTAATTAATAATTAAGTTCAAATATAGGCATCTTTAATGTCATAATTATATTTCAGTTTTATGGTCACTGGAGTTTAGCTCATTAGGGGAGGCTCTCGTAAACCACAGCCCTGTTTAGTGGCTGGAGCACATCTATACCACCAGGCTGATTTGAGTTGATGTTTTAATTTCTCTGTTTCTTAAGGGGCATGGCTGGGTTGGGGAAAGAAATTTCAGTCTCTGTCCTCTTCGAGCATAAAATTACAATCACAATAGCAACAACAACAAATGCAATCTACAATGCATAGCTTCTGATCCTTCTAGTCCTGCTGACTTTTATGTCATCTCCCTGGACTATTTTTGTAACAGTGGTCCTTACAGTGTGTTCTCATTGGATCAGATCTTTCCACCTTCACGTTGCCATTAAGCTTGGAGTAGCCACATCCAGGACTGGTGAGTGATGTCCTCTGATTGCTATCATGATTTACGAAGTCAGTAATGGCCTTTCACACAATATGGCAGGCTGTACATTCCTTTAGACAGAGTGGATTTATTTCAGCCATTAGCACTGATTAAACCAGCTTAGTTGAAGAGGCAAAACAAAACTTGTCTTTGAAATTGTTCTTATTTAATTTTGTTCGCCCTCACATAACCCAGGACAGTGCTAATTATTCCTTGATGGAGCTCATATTTCTAATGTAATTCATATGTAAATTCTAATTTCCTTCATATGGGAATGTTTGTGTTCCTTGTCTCCTTCCAGGCAGGAACACAAACAGAGAATTAAAACTGTTTAGAAATGGAAACTTCATGTTGCCTTTTCTGACCTGGCTTTGATTGGCTTTGCTTTCTTGCTTCTAGATTAGAGCTTGATGCTGTTAGAAGTTTAAGATTCTAGACTGTGGTTGGAAGGGAAAAAATTATCTTAGTGCTTTAAAAGAATTTGCTTTTTGAAGGTGTGAATTGCATCCTCAAATGCTAACAGAAGTTTGACCATTTAAACCTTCCCTCAAGTTTGCTCTGAAAAAAGATACCAGCAACCTTCCTGGGCATAGTGGTTAATGATTCCAATCTGGCACTGAGGAGGTAGAGGCAGGAGGATAACTACAAGTTATAGGACAACCTGGTCTTCCAAGGTACTTCAGGCCAGCTGGGACTGCATAAGCAATATCATATCTATAAAAATAGGGAGATGGAAAGATAGATAGATAGGTAGATAGATAGATAGATAGATTACAGACTGATTGATAGATAAGTGATAGGTAGATCATAGATAGTTAAATAATAGATAGATACATAGATAGATGGATAGATAGATAGATAGATAGATAGATAGATAGATAGATAGATAGATAGATCTAAGAAACCAAACATCAGTCTAGGTAAACTATCATAAGAAACTACAGTAAGAATCACTTATCCATATGATAATTCATGCTGTTATGAAGATATGAAAGTGAAAAATAGATTTCAAATTCAAAATACTTCTAATCAGATGATAGATTATTGCCAATGTGAATAACCGTAGTTTTGTAAAAGTCATCTTTGAAGACTCATGATCCAAACCACATAATGTGCTAAAGTAGATCCAAAGTGGCTTGAGTTGATTATTGTAACTCAAGTGGATGTGCTTTATACAAGGTTAAGAGACAGAAAGAGAGAGAGAGAGAAACTCCGCAGAACATCATAGCTAAAGTCCATAGTTAAAGTAGTTGCTAGATATAAGGCATGGAGAAGGGATACAAGTGACAGACACTTCCTGAGAGTGGCAACTACAAGCTGTGAAGGCTTGGAAATGGGGAAATGGCAATGTAGCTGAAGACAGGGCTGAGGAAGTCTGTGATCATGCTGTCTGTGTTCCAGGGATATTACAAAGTTGACATTTCAAAAGTCCTTTTGCATTTCCTCAAGCATGCTTTTGCTCTAGAGAGTGATGTGTGCGTGCATGCCTGTGCATGCATGCATGTGTGTGTGTGTGTGTGGGGGGGGTGTTCTCTTGTGTTCTTCTTCTTTGTGAGGTTGAATTATATTTTTCTTAAGCTCAGGAAATATTTTCACATTGTATTTCAATCAAAATCATCTTAGTGAAGGGTAACTTACCACTATAATTAAAAAATATAACAAAAATCAGATGGGACCTAATGTTACAAGAAAAAGATCAAATCACAACTTGATCTACCCTCTACTTTAATCATATCCCCTGAATATTGTTTTAAGATAAAGAAGTTGACTTTTATGCCAAGTGGTCTCTCTAGTGGCCCACGCATTAGATACTGTTTCACAAGGTATTTCACAAAAGGCGGATAAAATTGTGATGTCTTGGATAAATATGAATTATAAACTGTCAAAGGCCATAGGCAAACAATGCCTTGATTCTATTTGATATCTGATCATATTTGTGCTGCAGTAAGAATCAGAAAGGACCTTTCCAGTCACATCACCCTCACATAGACTGACTTTGTAATATCTAGGACATAATTACATTTGCATTAAATATGCACACGCATACGCACACATCATGCCAACATTACAGCTGTCCGAAACTATTTTCAATAATTGATTTGCCATTTAATTGAACAGCATGACTGACTAACATAGCTCATTACTTTACTCATTAGTTAATTATCGAAGAAAGTAGGACAAGTCAATAAAATGGAAGGCTGTAAATTCCAATACTAATTAGCACCATTTCCTTAGAGACATATTTAAGGGCAGATTGGCTACCTGAATGTCCTAAGACCTTGTAGATGAAGGAGAAGGATAGACACACATCAAACTAGATGGGAGGGAAGCTGTATAGACAAGTAGACCGAAACAGCTACTAATAACTCTGTTATCTGCACTGACACACACAATTGAGGAGGAAATTACCTTTAGGAGAGGGGAAGAGCTTTCATGTAACATTTAAGAAATGATTTGTAAAACGAAGTTACTTTCATTTCTTTTTGCTTTACAACAATGTTCCTGTCTATAGTTTGCAATCCTGCATATGGACCTTATCATGTTGAGTGATATTGATATAGAGATATATTGCAAGTGGACTTTATCCAAGAGAAGGGATTCTATAAGCCAGTAACTGATTCTTTTTGACTTGGAAGAAAAAATATACACATATGTTAATGTAATCCACTTTACCCTTGTGTGAGCAAGAGTCAAATCTGCATAGTTGTCATATAATGTGGACTATCCCCACACCTGCATCCTCGTGCACTTATGCATCCTTCTGGATGGCTATCTAACTTTTCACTACAAAACAGGATTTAAAAATAAAAACAAAAACAAAATGAAAAACCCAATAGGGTTTACAGTTCTCTGTGCTATGACTATTTCCCTTCTAAAAGTCTTCCATCTGTTGGAATTCAGTATTTTTTCATCACTATCCTGAGCAGAGAAACACCCTCTGTTGAGGAGCTGGAAGAAATAGAACATGATTTGCTCTTGCATAGTGTCTTCTGCAGAGCCTATCATGACTCTATCTATCCTGGATAAAATTCCCAGTTGTTCTCCCTGTAACAATATTATCTGGAAGACCTGAATAATGGCCATGACACAAAGTCATTTGGTAACAAAATTATTCTAGCCATAGACACAGTTTTGTTTGTTTGTTTTTGCTCATAACTAATGTGCTTTGTTATGTGTATTTCCAAAATAAGCATACCATGCAACAAGCAGAGAATAAGTTAGGTTAATGAGGAAAGGCTGTTCTCAGCCTGCTACAATGCATACCATATTTGGCAGAAGATTTCTGGTAAGCGATGGACAATTAATCTTGCATTAACCTTGATCACTTTGGCTTGCAGTTTCTCAAAGGTTGTTCATTTCCTCCATGCTGTGGTGTGGCCAGACCTAACGGAATACTCATTTTCACTCTGATTTTGTACTTAATTAAATGAAGCTACCAAAAAAGGAACTCCAGCATTTGTACACTCTGTGGCACTCTTCCAAGGTATGATGAAATATATACTCATGGTAGATGTTGCTATTGGTAATCTTTAAAAAATAAAGGGATGGGTTCTAGAGATATGGCCAGTATTAAAGGTACTTTTTCCTCACATAAAACACGAATTCAATTCCCAGCACCTAGGTCTAGTGATTCACAACTCTCTGTAACTGGAAAGGATCCAATACCCTCTTCTGGCCTCCATAGGTACCAGACAGTCATATGGTGCGTAGACATACATGCAGGCAAAATACTCATATACATTAAATATGCTTAAATAAGTCCTTTGGAAAATTAAAACAAAGAATTAAACTTCAAAGAAATATTTAGTTTATTTTAGACAAGTAGTTAATGAAAGACAAAGCTACATTGGACAACAACAACAACAAAAACACCTGATACAGGTGTACTTTTCTAAGAATTCAGTGGAGAGTTCAGCATTTTTGAAAATCAGGCCTCTGGAGCTCATACACGAAGTCAAAGATTTAAACATGGATTTCAGGGGAATGGTTTAATCAGTGGTTCCTGGTTTAAAATTGTGTGTGTGTGTGTGTCACACACACACACATATATATATATATATATATATATATATATAAAGAATGAAATTCTTATTATTTTACTTAAATCATTCAAAATAAAGCTGCACCAACATTTGGAAATATGTATATTCTAGAAACAAACACCTAATAAAATCAAGCCATGGGGGCCATCACCCTGCTGGATGCTTATTTTAATGTGTGAATACAGCCACAATATATTATGGCGTGTGAAGTAAAACAAGTAAAGAAGCAAGATATCTATAATTTAAATTTTAAATTTGATTTCAAATCAAAACATTGGTCCAGAAACCTGAAGAAGAAAAATCATAGCATATTTTACAGGCACCCCTGGACTTTGGTTGTGTTAATTCATTTACACTTTGTGTGAGCTCATTGAAACCTCTACTTTAGGTGTTCTGCATGTTGTGTTTTGCTTTTCTCTTATTAGTAATATTAGCAGAAGAAAGTGTAAACACAGTCCTGCACTACCACAAATTATGCCATTGAGTTTATTCCATTTGAGGAAAACACAGAGATCAGCATGTCAGAAGTGCAATGGATGAGCCTCACTGAGAGAGAGAGTCACGTTTGTGATCTTGGGCTCTCATCTGCCACATATGCATCTATTTCAAATTGTGAATTCAGACGTTTTACTCAGACTAGTGATTTCCCAGAGACACAAATGATTACCATAATGATATACTGTGCCAATCTAAAATTGAAGTCTTTTAATAAATATTGTTTTGAAAATAGTGAAATGTAATTGAATTAAAAGTAAGAGATAGGTGAACCAATGGATGGCCTGGGAAAAATGTTTGCCTGCTAATATCCATTCACTTAAATTTAAGAATTTTCCTAGATAAGTTATGTATTTAATAGAAAAAATGAACATACCAAAAAATTCATGGGGAACGATATTTAAAGATATGTAAAGGGGTTTATAGTTTGAATATAGATATTTGCTTCTATATTCAAATATGGAAACAATCTTATTTTACCTATCAATCAACCCATTCCCTCGCCCTCCCATCCTCCCATGTCCCCCACCGACCCCCCAACCCACCCCCACCCACTCCCCAAGGATAGTGAGGCCCTCCACAGGGGACCATTGAAATCCTTCACATCATCTGTGGGAGGGCCCAGGCCCTCCTTGCTGTATCTGGGCTGCAATAGTATCCCTCCAATGGAAATGGGCTCCCAAAGTCCATTTGTGCACTAGGGATAAACACGGGCTCCACTGTTACAGGTCCCATAGACTTCCCAGACCTCCTAGCTTACTACTAGGGTCTCTGTGCTCTCACTGGGTGAGGTCAACTGTTTCTGCGGGTTTCTCCAGCATGGTCTTGGCTCTTTTGCTCATCCCTCCTCCCTCTCCACAACTGCATTTCAGGAGTATGGTTCAGTGTTAGCTGTGGGAGCCTGTTTCTGCTTCGATCAGCTACTGGATGAAGGCTCTAGGAATGGCAACCAAGGTAGACATCAATCTCATTATAGGTGAAGGACATCAAAGGCAGTCTTTCCATCACTGCTTAGATTCTTAGCTGTGGTCATCACTGCGGATCCCCTAAATTTTCCTCTGTGCTAGACCTCTCTCCAAATCTGTACTGACTCCCTCTATCAAATAATTTTCTTTCTTGCCCTCCCTTATTCCTCCCCTGTCTCAGTCCTTCTGATCCCTCCTGTTATCCCCCCTCCCTTTCTCCCCTCCCCTTCCCACTTCCCTCCTCTCTGCTGCAGTGCTCCCAATTTGCTCCGGGGTTCTTGCCCTCCTCCCCTTCTTCGAGGAACCATGTGTTCTACTCTTGGGGTCCTCCTTGTATCCTTGTTCCTCTGGTGCTGTGGATTGTAGGCTGGTAGTACTTTGCTCTGTGTCTAATATCCATATATGAGTGAGTACATACCCTACTTGTCTTTCTGTGATTGGGTTACCTCACTCAGGATGTTTTCTTCCAGTTTACTTCTGTTATTTTTGTATAGCTGTTTACTTTATGCAAGGACACTTTTATATTATAAAAATTGCTATTAACTATAAAATAAAAACAATCATATGTATATAGTTAAATTTAATTGTTACCTGAAATGTTCAACTGTTTTGCATTAATTTTTCAGCTTTCTTTCCTTCCTTCTTTCTTTCTTTCTTTTCTTTTTTTTGGTTTCTCGAGACAGGGTTTCTCTGTGTAGCTTTGGAGCCTATCCTGGCACTCGCTCTGGAGACCAGGCTGGCCTTGAACTCACAGAGATCCACCTGCCTCTGCCTCCCGAGGGCTGGGACTAAAGGGGTGCACCACCAATGCCCGGCCAGCTTTCTTATTTGTATAAATTTTACTGTGGATTTTAATGCTACTAAGAAATTAAAGGAAAATTTGCTTGCATGGTATCTGTCTTTTGCAGAAAATTTAAATTCTTATTATTTTGCTTTAATTTTATAAAGCATATAGAAACATACCCAAATGCACAAAATATTTATATTTTGAATATATATTCAGATTCTACATATTAAAAGCCATTTCATTAAATGTTAACCTATATTGCCATGCACATTTTTCTCTAGATTCTTTGTCCTCTGTGGGGGAGAGGGGTTCTCTTTGATTTCTGAGAAGGGCTAATAAGCAAGCTCAAAGCCAAACAAAGTGAAAATATAAGGAAAGTAAGAACCATTTTTCCTCTAATTGTCATAATGAACCTTTGCAGAGTAGAATTACAGCACTTCATTCTTCATAATTTTCTTTGTGAGAAAATATAGATGGTATAAAATTTACTTTGGCTCACACATATAACCCAGTGGCATCAATTATAAGCATGTTATTGTGAAATAATCATTACAGTGCATTTGGGGGAATTGTTTATCATTTCCAGAAAAACCTCTATCATTTACCAAAATGTTTTTTATTCTTCTCACGCTTATACCCCTGGAACATCTGGAGCAACCTTTTATCTCTGTGAATTTTCTTAGAGTCAATAGCTATAGTTCAGAGTCACAGCACTTGCTTATTCATAAGGACCAGCATTTGGTACCCAACAGTGGAAAAGAAGGCAAGAGAGCTGGGAGGAGAGGGGAAGAATGGGAAGGGAAGGGGAGGAGAGGGAAAAATGAGATTTTGCTTATTCTAGTCTAGAATTTTCATTTAAGTAGACTGCTAACAGTAATTTTTGCTTCTTTGTATCTTTCTCATGTCATTAAGTATGTTTTCTATATTCATCTGTCATTGCAAGCACCAGGATTTTATTTTTTCTAAGGCATGATAATATTCCACTGTATGTATATAACCAAATTTTATTTTCCCATTCATCTGCTGGTGGATAACAAGGTCACTTTAACTTTGTTGGGCTGTTGTGAATAACAAATGCAGTCAACACTGGCCTACAAACATACAAGAGCCTGCATGAATCCCTGCTTTCCACACTCTTGAGTCCACACCTAGATATGGAGGTTTTCATGGCATTTCTGTGCTTAGCCGTTGAAGAAAATACTCAAGTATTTTCCATCTGCTTGGTTTTACATTCCTACACATCAAGACAGTTCTATTTTCCATAACAACCTTTACCAATACTGTCTTGTTTCAAATTACCTATGTTGGTCTGTGTGAAATCCATCATACTTTGGTCTTCTTCTTTGTTTCCCTTATAACTTATGTTGTAGGTTAGCCAAGTGTTAATTAGACATCCCTACATCTTCTTTGGATAAATGTCTATCAAAATCCTCTGCTTTTCTTTTCACCTTTTCCTGATGAGTTATCCTTCCTTTATAGATTCTGGGTATTAAATCTATTGAGTACATATATGCGATTATTTCCACAATTCTATAAGTTTCCATCACCTTCTGAATAGTATTTCCTGATTGTACAGCCAAATAATTTGTCAGGTAATTAAAGCACTTCATTACTTTTATTTTGCAGAATCATATTTATAAGACTTACCATCTTTTTAAATTAATACATCATTCCAGTTTCTTTGAATAGCTTTTTATTTTGCTGATGCCAGAGCAGTGAGAATAAAAATATCAGAAAGAGTTCATAGTCCCTATTGTCAAGTAGCAGAGAATATTTGAGAGCTGTAGACCCCATACACAGATCATGTTCTTGACACAGAAGGTGATAAGCAAAGTGAATGTTGTTGTGCAGATGTCTGCAGCAAATGGCTGTAATTATCAAATCTGGGCATCATATTTGAGTATGAATGTGTGTGGAAAGTTGAAATGAATAAATATCAACCTTGCTATGTAATAGATCATTAAACATGGTCAGACACATCAAATCTTGGGGTATTCTAATTTATCACATATAAGATTGGGATACTAATTCCTATTCTCACCTTGTATTGAATAAGATAACAGATGTGAAAACATTTTGGGATCTTAAAGGTGCTATGCAAATTTGAGGCCTATTATTATTATGTATTCTTGTGTGCCAATTACTCAGCATCATAATAGTTAGTAATAACCATTAAGAGCATCATTAGAAATGCAAGAATGTCTGGAAGTTCATACATTGTTTCTGTGTATACAGAGCACCTGTACACTTGGGTTCATTAGTGCTTGTATTTATTTTACTTTCCAAATAATCTATGCATTTCTTATTTTCTATACTTTATTATGTTTCTGGGCCTCATTCTCTACAAATTCCTTAACTTCTGGAAGACTCATACATTTCCATTGCAACTGGTGTAAAAGATTCATGCAAGAATAGTTCTGGTTGAGTTTGAGTAGTCCTCGTTTAGAACTGGGCCCTCAGGCCTCAGCAGCCTTTAATCAGCTGTAACTGGAGTGAAGCTGTCAGCTCCTGCTTGTTCTCTGTCAGCTTTAGTGCCACTTAGAGCATCCCTGACAAATGGACAGCACAAATTGAACAGTCGACCTGTGAAAAAGGAAAACTAGACATCTCTCAAGCACTGCAAAAAACTCTTTAGCCATGTCATGGCGACCTCACAGGTAGACTGCCCACTGTAGGTACAGCAGAAGTTGAGGAAATAGAAATACATATATTTGAAAATAGCATCATCTTGGTAAATATAAGGGAATTTTTAACATGGGCCAGATGTAGGAAAAAGAAAAGCAAAATACAGTGTTGGGAAGAGGAAGAGAAAGGATGACCCTCCTTCCATTGTCATCTTGAGTTGTAAGAGGAATAAAATTCCATGCCATGCTCTCCAGCCACTTGGAAAGTGAGAAAGCCATGCTTAGCATGGAGAAACTCATGTTGGTAAGTTGAACATCACAAGGTGGTCTTATCCATTACTTATCTATGTAAAACCAAGGGAAGTTAAACATAAAATTGTGTTTTTAAACCTCAACTCTCCCATCAATAAAATGGGGATTAAAATTTCAACCTCTTATATCTTGGCTGTGAGCCTAGCCTTTAACAGCTGAGTCATCTCTCCAACCTACCTTGGTTACCATTCCTAGAGCCTTCATCCAGTAGCTGTTCGAAGAGAAACAGGCATCCACAGCTAAGCACTGAACCATACTCCTAGAATCCAGTTGTGGAGAGGGAGGAAGGATGAGCAAAGGAGACAAGACAGTGCTGGAGAAATCCGTAGAAACAGTGGACCTGACCTACTGAGAGCATGGAGACACTAGTCATAAAGCTGGGGAAACAGCATTGGACCGAACCAAGCCTTCTGAATG